CTCTCTGGGCTTAATTTCCTCCTAAGATACAGTTGCTATTATGGCGCCTATCTCGTGCGGGGGCGGGTTTAAGGATCCTGAGCAGGTATATACAAAGCACTAGGACAGTCCTTGGAGTGACTTGTATCTGCTTTCGTTATTATTACTGCTGCTAAATAGAGAACACGCCGCAAGGGCATGGTTACAGGCTTGATAAATATGAGCTATTACTATTCTTTTTCTATGTTCTTAAGAACCTCTCCCTGTTCATTTTCATATCATGTTTCCAGTTTCTTAGCATCATATGAAAATGATGTTCCAGAACGATGTCCCATGCTTTCCTGTGGCGTTAGCCACCCTTGGCCGCCACCTCCCTGCCTTTCTGCACGGCAAAGGAGTGGAGTGGGGGGCACCAACCCCCACACGTGGGTTCCTGCCACTGCTTTACGTGTGTCTCCGTGGCTCAGCTTGGTGACTGCCCCGCCCCTTCAAAGCCTTTCCCACTGAAAAGTAAAAGTTAGGTGTGTTTTGTTTTTTTCCCCAACATTCTTAGCTCCTCTGCACCAGGATCGGGGGGGGGGGGGAACATGTCAGGGAAGCATAACTGATATTAATGACATTGAAGGCAATGATGCTGTGTGAAGGATTTTTACTAAACTCATTCATTCATGAGAATTCCCTGAACCATGCACACGTGGACAATAACAAATGCTGGAATGAATTTACAGATGGATGCAAAGCTGACCTATCTACAGGGCAATAAGTGCAGTCTGCATAACTGTGACCAGTGCAGGGCACGGAATCATAATTGCATCCTGCCAGACCCAGCTCTTACCCATTTCTGTACACAATTATCTTCTGTGCATCATTATCAGTTCTGTACAACTTAGAGTTGTAAAATAACTCAAAGGCAATGAGAGGTGCAGGAGGTAAGCTGGGAGGACTGGACAGGACACCCTCTCATCTTTTTCTTTTTTTTATAGTATGTTTTTATTGATTTCAGAGAGGGGGGGGAGACAGAGAGAAACATTGACTGGCTGCCTCCTGCACACCTCCTACTGGGGATCAAGCCCACAGCCCCGGGCATGTGCTCCGACTGGGAATGGAACCAGCGGCCTCCTGGTGCACGGACGATGATGCTCAACCAACTGAGCACACTGGCCGGGCTCATCTTTATTTTAATTTCAAGGTCATTCACAAGATCAGTAGTGAATACTGAGGGTTTACCGAGTGCCAGGCGCTGTGCCGAGCTATTTGCAAGTGTTATAAGCCAAGATATATGCACTTGCTCCTCCCGCCCTCCGCCCCCGCCCCTCACTGGTCTCTGGGGAATCTCAGAAGGCAGCTTGGAGAGCACAGGATTAGCCCCCTCGCTCCTGGGAGCCTTTAATTGACGCTGGACACAGGAGCCCGGTCTCTGCTTCCCCCAAGGAGAAGGCTGGAGTGCTGACAAATGAAACCAACCTTTTAGAGGAAATTATCATTCTGTAACCTCCTCCGCAAGTCCCTGCCCTGTAGGCTGCATGGCTTCCGTCATTGATTCCCTTTGTGCCCACCAGGTGGCAGCAGCTCCTCAGCATGAGTGTGAGTGAGGCCCATTAGGGGACCTGGACTACAGACAGCGCTGGCTTGGGAGCTGGGTAGAGAACTGTGAATGAATTCCCAAGTCTCAACTTCCCCATCTCAAACTGTGCTGAATGGTATTAGGTCACTGGAGGGAAACGGGCAGAGTTTCCAGTCTCGCTGGGGGATAAGCCCTCCACAGGCGGGCACATCCTCATTTTGGGTCCCTGGCCACCAGGAGGCCCTTGGAGACCAGAGAACTACTGAGGAAGAGGGCAGAGCAGTGAACTGCATGGATTTGGTATCAGACAGACCTGCGTTAAAATCCCGTGGTTTGGGCCAAGCCTCGTTCTTCCCACCTGTCAAATGGGGACAATAATGCTGACCTTATACATTCGTCCTGAGGCATGGAGGAACTATGCATATAGGACACTGAGCCTGGAGCCTGGCACATGGAAGGCTGGGGCCTGATTTGTTTTCAGAATGAGCCGAGGGCCTCCGGGCTGCTGCTCTGGCTGGGGGCTGAGCCCCCATCAAAGACCAGATGGCATCTTCACCTGCCCCAGGCACCTACCTGCATTCGCAGCTGCTCCTCCCCCTGGGTGGAAAATTCTGTGCGGCAGTGGAGTGGGACCTCCATCTCGGCCACGATCTCACCGATCCTCCGCTGCATGGTCACACACTCAGTCTGCAGACAGGAACCCTTCCAGCACCAGGAATCCATCCTCCTGGAACTACAGGCAGGAAGGGGCTCAGGCTTCCCCGCCCTCAGACATCCTTTATGGGAGCTGATTGGACTTCTCCCCCCAACTGTGTGAAGGCAGGACCAGTGTCCTGTCCATTGCTCTGGCTCCCACCCAGGCCACGGTGCTTGGCCTCCAGTGAGGAGCAATCCATATTGGCTGGAATGGCCCCGTAGGTGTAGCTCAGCTGTTGAGCATTGACCCATGAACCAAAAGGTCACAGGTTCGATTCCCAGTGGGGGGCAGGCAGGAGGCAACTGATCAATGTTTCTCTCTCATCGATGTTTCTCTCTCTCTCTTTCCCTCTCCCTTCCTCTCTCTGGAACGATGGAAGGAGGAAGGGAAAGGCAAGGTGCCCCCCTTCCCCATCCAGTGGTCCAGTGAGCTTGGATCACAGGAGAATATAACCTCATTCATCTACCCGACTGAAACTGATTGAGCACATCAGTTTTCTGTACCAAACACCGTTTTAGTAGCTGGAGATTCAGTAACAAGAAACCAGCCAGGCCCTGACCGGTTTGGCTCAGTGGATGGAGCACCGGCCTGCGGACTCAAGGGTCCCAGGTTCGATTCTGGTCAGGGGCATGTACCTTGGTTGTGGGCACATCCCCGGTGGGGAGTGTGCAGGAGGCAGCTGGTCGATGTTTCTCTCTCATCGATGTTTCTAACTCTCAATCCCTCTCCCTTCCTCTCTGTTAAAAATCAATAAAATATATTTTTTAAAAAAAAAAAAGAAAAGAAAGAAACCAGCCAGGATGCCTGCCTTCCCGGAGCTGCCAGTCAAGCCGAGGAGGCTGATGGGAACAAGCCGCACACAGGGGAACAGATGTCACAAACTGCTGAGTGCAAGGAGGAAGAGGGCAGTTCTAGAACTAAAGGAGGAGCATCTAATGTAAACCAGATGGGGAGGACGGGAGGTCTCGGGGCAGCAGCCCTGCGGAAGTGACATTTAAAGGGACCAGCAGGATAATGGGAGTGGAAGAGACAGGGAGGAGCACTCCAGGGAAGGGAGCAGGATGTGTGAAACCCTGAGCACGAGAGAAACACAGAAACGTGAGGAATGGGGACCCGATGGTGCCGAGTGAGGGGAGGGTTGGCAGGGAGGCGGGAGGATGGCAGGGGCCAGGCCATGCAAGGAGCTGGGCTTTGGCATGAGTGCAGTTGGGCATTGAAACCCTTGGCTTGCTCTGATTTGCCTCCAGTCCCCTTATTCTGAGGCTATTGAGGTAGGAAAGAATATCTGCTCGTTTGCTGGCAGATAGGAAGTCGTAACCTGAATAGGGGCATTGGAAGTCACCTCCTGAAATCCTGTGAAGTGTCCGATTTCCAGTTACCGACCCCTATTCCCTCCTCCACGGATGCTCAGTTCTGCCTTCCACGCACAACAGGGCTTTGGGACATTTGTGCCCACCCACCACGGGCCCTCCAGTCTCTGGGCAGCTCTGCATGATAGAAACTTAATCCTCATCGCAGAATCAAGCCGAACACTACCCCCTGGGAACTGGGGGGTGGGGGTGGGGTATTGTGCATACCCGTGATCCGGTAAACACAGTGCTAGCATTCTTGAGATAAGAAGTTGGAGGGCCTGGCTGGGTGGTTCAGTTGGTTGGAGCAAAATACACCAAAAGATTGTGGATTCAATTCCCAGAGCGGGCACATACCTAGGTTGCAGCTTCAATTCCTGATCAAGGCAAGTTTGGGAGGCAACCAATTGATGTTTCTCTCTCTCTCTCTCTCTCTCTCTCTCCTTTCCTCTCTCTAAACATATTCTTGAGTGAGAATTTAAAATAAATAAATAAAAAGAAGGTTAGCAAATAGGGGGGCAAAGATGAATGTGTGGGGGTGTTCACTGAGGCATAGTGACAGCAATGAATCAGAAATAACCTAAATGCTCAGCACAAAGGGATTTGTTCAACAAAGTACGGGCAGTCTGTCTGGAACGCAATGTCTGAAAAACAGCACGTGGTAGAAAAATACTTACTGATATGGAAATATGTTCCTGATGGGAAAAAAAAAAAAGCCAAATGCAAATGAGTATCCTAGCCATTGTGAGAACTTGGGCAATATGGCAAGGGTTCAATAAGCAATAATTCATAGCTATCAGGATGGACCTTATAAAGATTCTACGGCTGTATACCAAAATATTGTGTCAGCGTAAGAATTGGTGGGGTGGCTCTCTACATTTTCTTGTTGAGCCCTTCTGTGTCTTCCTGCACTTTTCTCTTGTCATCAGGAACAAACAACAAGGGTCATGTTATTTAAAAGACTGTGTCTCGCCCTGACCTGTTTGGCTCAGCGGATAGAGCGTCGGCCTGAGGACTGGAGGGTCCCAGGTTCGATTCTGGTCAAGGGCATGTACCTGGGTTGCGGGCACATCCCCAGTGGGGGGTGTGCAGGAGGCAGCAGATCGCTGTTTCTCTCTCATCGATGTTTCTAGCTCTCTATCCTTCTCCCTTCCTCTCTGTAAAAAATCAATAAAATATATTTAAAAAATAAATAAATAAAAATAAAAGACTGTGTCTCTCTAATTCCCATGAGGCAGGCTTTTGTGTTTAAAGTACATTGGACCCTGGCACCCAGGCATAGCTCTGAGACAATCACCCGGCCGGCCCCGCCCCTGAATCGCAGGCCCAGATCTGGGCAGGCAGGGACTGGCTGATCCTGGAGCCTTATTATGGGTTTCGGTCACATATGCACACATTCCCATCCCACCCTGGGCCTGTGGTCTGGACGCCCAGGCTTTGTGGACAGGAGTTAAGAGATCATGGGGGGAATCAGCCACTCTGCTTTCAGTTTCCTCTGTTGAAAATTGGCAGGGGATGGGGTTGTTTTCGGAACTGGGAGCACTTTCCGATCAGTCCAGAGGGTCTTCCTACTCTTACCCAATCCTCCCTGCCCCCACCCTGCAGGCCCCTACCTTCTGGAGCTGCGCGGGGTTCAGGCAGGCCATGAGGAGGAGGTGGTCGAGGTGGTCGGGTGGCTCTAGGCTCTCCGCACTGGTGCTGTGCCCCGCCCAAGGTGGAAGAGGAAAAAGGTCAGAAGGGGAGAGTGCATAGAGCCTGGGAGGCCCAGAAGGACTTAACTATTCCCTACCCAGAGAAAACTCAATCCCTGCCCCCCTCCACCCCAGACCAGCCTGCGCCTAAATCCCAGTTTTTTCAGGCTCCCTCTGACTTCTGTGCCCAGAGGGTCCTGGGTCCCTCTTCCCAGCTAATCCAGGATTAACCCTTTCTGATCTCCTTCAAGGTTTTTCCTGCCCCCCACCCCCTCTCTGGGGCTGGCTGCTTACAGGTGCCCAGAAGTTGAATTTAAGAGGTATCTAGGAGTAGCGAGGAGCAAGTGAGCGAGTAGGGGCTGGTCGGCGCAGCAGCGCAGCAATGCCTAAGTCAAAGGAACTTGTTTCTTCAAGCTCTTCTGGCAGCGATTCTGACAGTGAAGTTGACAAAAAGTTAAAGAGGAAAAAGCAAGTTGCTTCAGAAAAGCCTGTAAAGAAGCAAAAGACTGGTGAGACGTCAAGAGCCCTGTCATCAACAGAGCAGCTAGCAGCAGGGATGACAACATGTTCCAGACGTCAGCGTACGGGACTTTAAAGGAAAAGTCCTAATTAATATTAGAGGATATTGGATGGATCCAGGTGAAACGAAACCAGGAAGAAAAGGTATTTCCTTAAACCCGGAGCAATGGAGCCAGCTGAAGGAACAGATTTCTGACATTGACGATGCAGTGGGAAAACTGCGAAATCTGAGCCATATAAACCTGTGCTGTCCTGGTTGTTTTAACCTGTCTTTTTACATTGGCTTTGTTTTGTAAATGTTGTTTTCCAGGCTATTGTATATTTCAATTGCAGAACAATTTGTAAGAATACTTTTTTTTTAAATGTGCATTAAAAATGTAATGTGCATTATTAAAAATGTTCTGAGTGAAGCTAATTGTCAACTTTATTAAGGGGGTTGCTTTGTTATACCAATGCATACTTGATTGATAACTTTCCCCTTCTTTAGAAACATGACCTGTTCACTTGATTGGGTAGATTTGAAAAATATTCCTTATATATACAGAAAGGGTAGTTAGAACACAGAACTTTGATTTTGGTGTAGAAGGAGAGGGGATAATTGTTGACTTTCCTAGGTTTACAGGAATTTAAGGGGTGGGTGCATTTTGAAACAACCTGCTAATAGAGAGATGGTGCTGAAATCTGTTATTACCCAGGCATTTTACAGCTGTTTAGTGTACGTTGTTAAACCTTCATATAAGGAGGGCTTCTCTGGCAGAATTTGGTAAGTCGACTGCTAAATTCATTTAAGTAATGCTACTGGATATGCAGTATATAGAAATTATTAATCTTTTTTGGGGTGTGTGTGTGTGTAGGGAAGGATGAGAGCTGGGTTAAAATAAGAGCCAAATTAACTCCTATTGAAAGAAAGGGTACTTTTGTTTCTGTTTAAACTTTATCTTTTTGGTAAGATCACTCAGAAGGAAAGCTTGGCATTTGGGGGCAGCCGTTTCTTGCCGTGTGATGCCAACATGGACTTAACCACCACCGGCCCTGGCATGTGCTCAGCAGAGGGCTTTCTCGTGGGGTTTTACTCTGTCTTTTACATACAAGTAGCATGTGACCAGTTTCCAATGCTCTTGGCATTTTATGAAAAGAACCACCACTAAAAAAGAAAAACTGCATATAATTGGGTTATTCTTTTTTGTTTTGCTACATAAATGCTTAAGAACGTCTTTTGAAGACTGTTCCTACCTCATTAGCTAGTCAAGATCCGGTGATGATCAACCTATTCTCCAGAATATTTTTGGAAAAAAGATTATGAAAATAAAAAGTATATACATCTTGGCTTTGGCTATTGAGGGGAAAAGGAAAATAATTGAGAATTAAGTGTTCCTGATGACATGGGTATGTTCAAAGAGTCCTGTGAAAGTCTGAAATAGTGAAAAAGTGCTGGCTAATATTTAGGTATTTCTCTTGATAGTCTGATACTCACTTTTTATGGAAATCCAGTGAAACACTCAAAAGTTTTTGTGTGTGTGTGTGTGTGTGTGTGTGTGTGTGTGTTTAAAAATATATTTTATTGATTTTTTACAGAGAGGAAGGGAGAGGGATAGAGAGTTAGAAACATCAATGAGAGAGAAACATCGATCAGCTGCCTCTTGCACACCCCCTACTGGGGATGTACCCACAACCAAGATACATGCGCTTGGCCGGAATCGAACCTGGGACCCTTTAGTCCGCAGGCCGACGCTCTATCCTCTGAGCCAAACCGGTTAGGGCTGTGTGTGTTTTTGTTTGTTTGTTTTTTAGTAGTGGTTTTCCAGATAAATTCTAGGAGTAAAATCTTTACATAGTCACGAACATGTATTTCTGTAACTGTGGAATACCTGTATGCTTTGTTGGGTACATCTTCCATGGAGATGCCAATGAATATACTACTATATCTGTGAATATTTTAAATGTTGAAATAAAAAATAAGAAACGTGAAAAAAAAAAAAAAAAAGAGGTATCTAAGCAAAAAAGTTGGGCAGACAAGAGGACACCTGAAGGCAGGCCCCGGTGCCACCACTAATTGTGACCCAAGTCCCCAGGACCACCAGCCTCCTCTGGGGAGGGAGGGTGGAGGCCTGGGGGACGTGCACACCAGACTGGCCCTGGCTGGCTTCGCATCCCAAGGTGGAAGGTGAAGGAGAAGTCTCTCCAGGGAATTGTCTGGGTCCCTCCAGCTTGAGACCCCAGCTCCTGGGGGGTTTATGGAAGGGAGTGTGTAGATGTGTCTGCAGCTAACAGGAAGGTAAAAGATAAGGGGGAATTTTAGAAGGAGGAAGAGGTAGCACAGCTGGCTGGCATGCCTCAGTGGTTGAGCATAGAACTATGAACCAGGAGGTCATGGTTAGATTCCCGGTCAGGGTACATGCCTGGGTTTCGGGCTTGATCCCCAGTGGGGGGTGTGCAGGAGGCAGCTGATCCATTACTCTCATCATTGATGTTTCTATCTTTCTCTCCCTCCTCTCCCTCTCTTAAATATATATATATAATTTTTTTTTTTTTTAAAGGAGGAAGAGACTGGAGAGTGGGTGCCTGGGTCTTCAGAATGAGGGAGAGCCGGTTCCGGTTCCCCACCTCCAGGCCCAAGGAGCTTGGTGTCTCAAGCTAGGCTGGCACAGTGGAGGCCAGGGGTGGGAACAGCATGCCCGCCCACCCTTCTGCCAGCCCTGCTCAGCCGCACACAGGGCTGTTCTGGCTGCGGCTTCTGAAAAACTGGCCACTGGCCTTCCCTGAAGTGATGCTTTCTGAATGGCAAAGGGACAGAGTGTCTCGGGGGTGAGTGCAGGGACACAGCTCGGCCCTCAGGAGCCCTGGCCCAGAGTCAAATTTTGTTTCCTGGGCCACCGCACTGGGAGCAGCTGCGTGGTCCCAGGCTCCCTAGGAGGGCGGGGGAGGGTAAGCCCCTCCGAGCTCCTGGGGCTGGAGGGACAAGAGGTTCGCAGGGTTAGGCTGGGAGGGGAGGGAAGGTGGCCAAACCCTATGGGCGATATAGCTGGGACTCAGCTCACTGGCTAGCCTGGCCCCTTCGGTGCAGCCACCCGGCGGATAGAGACATGTGCCAGGAGTGCAGGGAGGGCCACCGTGAGGGACTAGGAGCTCCCCTGGGTCCTCAGAGCAGCCTGGGCTCCATCCCGCCCGGCTTTACTTTCCCCGTCTGTAATTTGGGGATAACAGAAGTCCCTCCCTTGTAAGGAGGACCACGAATACTTTACCGCTAACAGAGCCTGGCACGGGCCTGGCACTTGGTAAATGCCTACAAATGCCTACCAACTATTCCCCAAAGGCTAGCGGGGCTGTTCTGGGTAGAATGTGGGGCATTTTTATTTTTTGAATTTCCCCCAAATTTTCCAAACTGCTATTGCAATCAGAGAAAAGGCAACCACTGGGTTTTAAATGGAGAATCCTGGTGGGCAGCGGGAGGGGGGAGGGGGGAGGGGGAGGAACTGGGACTCCCAAATTTGTTCATTTATTCTGCTCAGTTTTTTTAATTTTTAAAAATTTTTAAAATCTATTTTTATTGATTTCAGAGAGGAAGGAAGAGGGAGAGAGAGAATCACCAATCAGCTGCCTCCTGCCCACCCTCCAACTGGGATCGAGCCTGCAACCGGCGCCTGTGCCCTTGACCGGAATTAAACCTGGGACTCTTCAATCCACAGGCCGACGCTCTATCCACCGAGCCAAACCAGCTAGGGCCCGCTCAGGTTTTGAGCAGTGGGTGGGTGGTGTTTGTTTTTCCCAAAAGCTAACCAGCTCCAGATCAAACACTGGACACTGCTCTGGACACTGGGCGGCCCCAACGCTTGCGGGGGGGGGGGGGGGTTGCGGGGACAGGCATGGGAGGGTAGGGAGTGGCCAGAACAGAGCGAGGGGAAGACCTCCACTCACAGTGGAGTAGAGACTCAGGTGGGACCCTAGAGGGACCCAGGCCCAGCTGCTCAGCCTACCAGTCAGACAGCCCATGTCGGGGACAGAAAGAAGAGTCCTGGCTCAGTCCTGAGGTTACGGGGGGGGGCGCAGATTATAGCCCATGGAGCAAGGACAGACTCTGGCCTGTGCTGGGGGAGGCGCCCAAGGCCTCATCACTAAGGCCACGGTCAGACACAAAGCCTTCTTCTTCACCAAAAGACCCCTGCCCCAGGGCCCCATGTCCGCCCAGCACAAGCCTCACTGGTCCAGAGGAAAAGGTCCTTTACTGGGTTCCAGCGGCAAGGCCCTCTGTGAAGACCCCCCGACCCCCACCTGCATCATTCTCATGAGACAGCCTCAGAACAATCCTGCAACCCCACCCTTTTACAGATGAGGAAACTGAGGCCTCACATCAGAATAGCAGAGCTAAGATCTGAGGGCAGCCCCAAGCCTCTGCCCTGACGCCAGCACCTTCAGCAGGCCCCCGAGGTCCCTGAGGGCCCAGGGTCACTTCAGCCCCCCTCTGCCAAGCCCTGGGGACTGGCTGTTGGAATGACAAGAACCTACGAGAGCAGAGAGGAAGTTCCCATGGTACAGATGGGGATGAGGAGGCGAGGGAAGGAAAGCATCTGCCCAGCTTCCTGCAGGGATGACGGCCCTGGGACTCGGGCCTGAGACGACTGGCTCCCATTCGGTGCCCTCCCCACGCCCTCCCCAGCAAAGCTCATGAGGGCCCCAACCACAGGCAACCGGCCCACAGGGCGCCTGCTGGCTGTGGAACCCCTGGCCGGGCCACGCCCACCCTCGGCAGGTGCTCTGTCCGGCTCACGTCCACGGGCGGTGAGAAGAGCAGTTACCTATCTTGTAGGGGCCCAATAAACGGTCGCTCCGAGCTGAGGGGGGGTCTCCCACAACATGGAGCCCTCCGGAGACTACTTTCTGTTACAGATTTATTTGATATTTGAACGAGTCTACAAGTCCAGACCCACATGTAACGGATTGCTTCGTGGTTGTCGGAGGCTAGTGTGCGTTATTCTGAGGGTAACACTCAATGACGCGACGCAGAACACACAAACGGACAGAGACGTGATCGTTAAGACGAGAGACGCTAAACGTGCCTTAGTGTCCAAGTGACTGCTCTAAGGCAGGGACCCCGCTGGCGGATCTAAAGTGAGGTGGCTTCTCACCACCAGGCGCCGAGTGGGCCACGTGCGCAGGCGCCTGGGACAGAAACTGGAACCCAAACCTGGGGAGCCTGCTCTTCCAGGGGCGACCCCCCCACCCGCAGCCCCGCCTCCTCCCACAGTCTGTGCGGACGGAAGCAGCTGAGGCGAGTGGTGGCACTGGGCACACTCGTGACACATGAGGTGGGAAAGCAGAGTCCGGGCGAGGTAGCTCCTCTTGGCTCCTTAACACTGTGACGAGGGACAGGGAGGATGGAGCACCGTCGTCCGGGATTAGCCAACCCGAGTCT